AGTTCCTTAGTAGCAAATTTTAATTAAATAATAAAAGCAAGGACTAGTGGGAAAAGGGCTCAGAGTTGTGGAAAGCAGAGGTTTAATAGTACTTTTGGCTTCCTGTCTCCAAACCTATCAGGAACAGTAACGTTTAATACGTTCCTTTTAATACTTTCCTGTGTTACTAGTTTTGTGGTCCTTTTTTTCTAAATAAACCCAAACCAACTATTTTCTTCTTTTCTTCACCCACCTTCTGCTCCAGTTATAAACTAGTGGAAATGAGGCCTCTGTTTTAATCTGAAAGGGTCTGACTGGTGACTTTCAGAAGGTTACAGCTATTTTGGGTCATGGCTAAATGACAAATGTTGTGAGTGAGTTGTCTAAACTTGAAACCTTGCTTCAAAGGTGTGTGCTACCTGGTGTAGATAATCTCTCCCATTTGGTGCTACCTTGAAGTGTTTTTCTTTCATTAGGACTTGTGGAAGGTTTGGGAATCTTGAGGAAGGGTCTCGTCTGTAGGAGAGCTTCCCCTGGCCTGAGGGAGTTGCAGTTCCTGCCTACCCATGCCTGTTCTGTGCTCCAGCACCTTATGTCTTGTCCTCCCTACAAAATGTAGTCATTAAGTAACATGTGAACTGATCTTTTGGTTTTTCCTGCCCCTGAAATTTTAAGTGTACAAATGTGATCTTAATGCTATTCTTCAAGGCAGTAGTTTGAGCCCCTCTAAAATGTGGTCTGTGCTTTTCCAGGCCAGACCATCTGCAGATACAAGATCCAAATTAGACAAATCCAGAACCTGATTATTCTGAGAGGTGTTACCTAATTGCATTCTTATCACGTTTCAGTAAACACGGTGTCAGAAGGGAGGAAACCATGAGGTACAGCTGTCATGAGACAGCATCGGGAGGAAGGAAGTCATGCAGTGTGCAGCAGGCTGCTGCAGCGGGGCAGGGAGCTAGAGCTCTCCCATGTGCGTTATCAGCATCACGGGCTGCTGCCGCCCCGGCTCCCAGGAGCAACATGCCCCTGTCTGCGCTCAGCAAAGCAGCGAGCACTCAGCGCTGGAGTTTCCAGCGTTGGACTAACTCATTTTCCAGTTTGTGGCTCTACACATCAGCTGTGGGTTGGTTAGCATAATCTTCCACTGCCCATGTACTGCTGTAGAGGTGTACCTACTGTAGGGGTTTTGGGTAATTATTTATGTTGCAGGGACTTGATACAGCTTTCAAATGTATTTGTTGTTTTCAGTCAAATGCAAAATAAAGTATTTGATGGTTAGGCACTTCAACTTTACTTTTGTCAGCTGCTGCAGGGCCCCGTGTTTCAAGAGCCCAATGTATGGGAATGGCTCTGGTGATGCCAACTTGCCCAACAAAAGTCTGCATCAGAGGGTTCAAATAATTATCTGCAGACAGATAACTTTTTTTTTTAGTTGCTGCACATGTCAGTTCCTGAGAACCAAGCTCACTGTTTTTAGGCACTTAAAAGTGGTGTGGTTTAAATTCTTAGATCCATAAACACCTAGATGTTTCAAGTATTTATGTTGGGCTTTTTTCCCTTCAAAAGAGGTTATGTTCTGCATATATGTGAAACTGCAGATTTTCACATATAACACTGTGATTTTTAAGGTGCGTAATCACTTCTAGGTGTTTGATTTGTGGTGATGTTGGATTCTACATTTCTGAAAATGTAGTTCTGCTTTTTATAGCCGTAGAATTGGGGAGTTATTTTTATACTTTTGCACTAATAAGCATCAGTGTTAGCAGATGACTCGTTTAGAAACAGAATTAACTGTCTGTGTTTTCTTAACTGTAGAGCTGTCTCTTTCTAGTTGTTTAATTTTAAGTTTAACACCACCTCCACCACCCCCACCTGAAAAAAACAGATTGTCCCTTGAAAATAAGCTGCTTGAAGCAGATCAGTCATTCTGTGAAATCTCCTGAAGTTCAGGTAGAACAGACGAGGAATTAATCTGTAGTTAATTTATGCAGACCTCAGTGCAGTCCTGGATAATTTCATGTTACTTTCTTGTGGGTTGCACAAATGTATGTCCTTTATTTATCCCTTTTTTTAAGAGCATTTTAATACAGAGCTACACATGGAAGTGCTGTTCAAAAGTAAGAATTCACAGCATTTCTTGAAATAACTGAAATAACATCCAGCTTTAACAGAAAAAGGTCAGCTTGCCCTAGCTTTTCTCTTTTCTTTGGGCTATCAAATAAGTCATTTATGCACTCTTTAGTTTAAAAGAAAAAAAAAAAAAAAAGACAGTGACTGTTGCTGTCTCAATACCTAGAAATCTAAATGTGCAATTTGCTGTTGATCACAATGTTATTTAGTTCCCACTGCACTCATTGGCCATGAACTTTGTGAAAGATTGTAAAACAAACCACCAAACATAAAAGAAACATGCTTGGGTAAATAAGCCTTAGCCCTTGATGGTAGACAGTTGGATGTGCAATTCAAATGAGGTATCCTGCTAATTACAACCCGTAAGTACAGACAGTGTGTCTGATGCCAGATGCCGGAAGGCCACAAACATTTGTTTTTGTAACCTGGGGGTGCACAGGCTCTGGTGGACGTGGGAGCCCACCCTGAGGTAGGTCAGTCTCATATGACCTACCTCCCCGATGCGCCTGTTCCGTGGATTTGCTTGCTCTGGGGCACAGTGCTCCCATTTCACTAAACAGGGCGATGGCCGTCGGGGACTGGAGGGCTCAGCAGCGGAGGCAAGCTAGGCCCTGCCATGTCTTGTGTTTGTAGTGGTCAGAGGTAAGCGGCACAGGCATGAAATTGCAAGTAATACTCACTAGGACTCCAAAAACATGGGCATGTGAAATTTTGTTTGAATTTTGTTTGTGTGTGTTCATGTATATGGTGACCGGAGTTTTACTTTGGGCTGTTTTCACATTTGTCATAAGGCTTAAACATCTGTTCCCTTAAGCAGCGGGAGCAGCAGCAGTGGAAGTGGTTAGCTCACTGACTGCAGGCTTCGGTGGTTTTGCTTTTCAATGCTAACTATAGTTGAGCGTAGCTCTGAGGACAGTTGAGTAACAGGCTGACATTCTTGGCTTAGTATCTCAGGCAGTGTCTGAAGGAAATATTTGTCTGTGTGCACATTCATATGTATACCTCAGTGTCTGTCTGCGTGCTGGCAATGTTTGTACAGTGTGCGTATTCCTTGGAGGAAAAGCACCCTTGTTTCTCTCAAGTGGCAAATCACAGCCAAAAAGTCAGCTTTTTCCTTCCACGATTTGACATTTCTCAAAACAACCTAAGCCCTTTTCTTTAAGCCAGAACAAAAGCATGTAGGAACACCTTTATAACCATTTTTTCCTTCAGAAATGCCCCATGTAAGTCTTCCTTTAAATGTCTCTTGCCAGGATTTACCTCTCTGTGTTTGCCCCAGCACAGTGAGCTCTGACCTTTGGCGTTAGTGCCCCATTGCCTCACCCCTTCAAGGCTTTCCTTCTTTACTTTTCTGAAGGGATTCAGTCATAGGAGCATCACCTGCTCCTTGCTTCAGAAGATAAGCTGCTCAGCCATTCTGTGAGAGGTGCCATTCCCTGTAAGAAAGAGGGTGAGGGAGGTCCTGTGTTGCCATCCCTGGGATGCAGCAGGATGCAATGCAGCGCGGGCACAGCTTCAGGGAACGGGTGGCCCGATGTGCTTTGCCTGAGCTCTGAGTTGGTGTCTCCTGCTTGAGATACAGAAGCACTTGGTTTTTTGTTGGCATGGTTTCTTTTGTTAGCAGAAAGGGAAAGAAGTCAGTGTGAAGATCAGACTCTTTCAGGTATTCTGCATTGCCTTCAAAAATATATGGTATCCATACTTCTGTTGTTAGCTGACTGCATCTAACCACAACTGTGGCGACGTTACCATGTCACTTCATTTGGGTAAGAGAAAAGCATTTTCCTTTCTTCCCTCCACTCTCCCCCCACACCAGTCATCTAGTATCTCTTGCTCGCCCGTTGAAGCGTATTTACAGGAAACTTCTCTGTGATGTGTGTGCACGTACACACCAGCCTTGTTTAGCGTACTGTTGGTTTTTTTGTATTTTTTGAGGAGGACGATTGGGATAGCTTTGTAGCAGTAACTTTCATGCTTGTGAGTCTGTAATTCCTAATCACTCTGAAAGAAGTACTTGTTTCCTGAGGGTGCCATGCTTGACTCTAGCCCTTCTAATATTTACTTGTAAGTGTAGTTTTGACTGATGTTGGGGAAAGAGAAAAAAATCACATCTGCTTAATTTGCAGGTCAGTCACGTTTAAGTGTTCAGAGATGGCAGTCAGCTTGGGCAGGAGTGAGGAAGTTCAGCAGATCCAGTTCAGTAGCCCACAAGAAAAAAATACTTCCAAAATGTGTGTGGTTAGTGGAAACAGAGATTGGATGAACGCTCAATAGATATAAGCATACTACATCCCATTGCTGTTCCGTAAATATGGATTTTCTAAAGACATGTACTGTTTCTTAAAAATGTCTTGTGTTAGGTTAGAAATAAATGGAGCTTTTTGGGAGTTTTTTGACCTTAGTTATCTGATAGATACACCTTTAGAGGTTAGGGTGGTTTTGTTTTGTTTTTTAATGTGTCAGTGGGATGCAAGTAATGGTCTGGAAACAGACGAAGGAGGTTTGGAAGAATTAACGTAAGGAAAGTGTAAATTCTGTGTGGTTAATTGGGTTGAGAGGCTCTGTGTGGTATGCTTTTCCTGTTTCTCTCGCTCATGAAGCAGATCACCGTTTTCTGTTTTTGTGAAGCAACATTATGATAAAGGAAGATTTTGGTTTGAGTATCAGCAATGTGAAAACTGAGATTTCCCTCTTTGGCTTCCAGACTATATTTCATTTGAAAACACTATGAATAAAGCAAATGTGTGCATCTGTCAGTACTAAAGAACAAAAACCAGCTTTTGTCTTCATCCCCCAGAACACTGGTTACTGCAAGCTGTTTGCTCAGAAATAAGCCTGTTGGCTGTGTGGGTGAAATGGTTTTCTGTCTTTGTTCTTGCACTGAACAGGTAGCCCCAAATGACGAAGCTGTGGTAACGCTGCTTTGTGAATGGGCTGTCAGCTGTAAAAGGTCTGGTAAGCACAGGGCCATGGCTGTAGCCAAACTCCTGGAGAAGAGGCAAGCAGAAATTGAAGCAGAAGTAAGTTATTTCTACTTCTAGAATAGTGTGAACAGTATGCTTAAAAAGTAAGATATTTCCAAGAAAACATCAATTTAATCTCTACTTATTACAAAACAAGTAAGTTTGGCATTTGGAGCACTGGGGATTTTTGTCATCAATTTACAGTTTTTAAATTCTAGATAAATTTAAAATGAAAAAGCCTTCTATTTAAAATAAGAAGAAATTGCCTAAGTCAGAATGGTCTATGTTAGCTGATCTATGTCTGTTTGTTTGAAGTGTTTTACTTCTGTGAACTGCTTGTCCAAATAAAGGGGTGCCACAGTAACTGGAGTCCCTTAAAAAGAGGGGTGTGGGTCTGGCTGGTGGGGCAGGGCTCTTCAGCTGGTGGGGTACTCTGGGAAGATTACAAAACTAAGGTCTGTTTTGAGGCAAAATTCGAGTGTAACTTTATATCTTGCATTCTGAGGAACTCCTTTGTTTTCAGGGGAAATGAAATGTTTCACTGGAGAAGCTGGATGCTGTAGTGACGTCTTTGATGTAAACTGTTGTCTGTCTGTTGTGGCAAATGATCCTACTCCTGCTTGCATAAGCTGACGCTTCTCCTTGAAACTTCAGTAATGCTAAATCTCCTCTGCAGTGAGGATTAAAGAGAGGCAGTGTCTTCACTGCAGCCTTGCTGCAGCTTTCTGGACCAGTGGTACTCCCTGTAGCCCGGAGCACCACTGCCTTGGCCTCACCTGCATCCGTGCAGCGCTGGCTGGCAGTTTTTACTGGATGGGTGTTCTCTTTAGGTTGTTTTTTTTTCCCAGAAAAAAGGATCCCCAGGAAAGTGATGTGTGATGTCTGTTCAGCCTGGGTGCGGGGACAGACAGATGAGAGCACTCTCAGAAGTGCCTCTGTGCAGACAGATGTACAGACAACGTGAGGTGCAAAAAGACTTTCACTTTCCAAAGCCTCTCTGCTTTATCCGCTCCTCACCACAAACCATTAATTAGGGGGAAGGGAGCTTACTGTATTGTTTCTGCCTCACTCCCACCGAAATCCACTCAGTGCAGAGATGTTTGCCCTGGTTACTGTTATATTTAGTGTAATTTACACAAACAAGAGCAGTTACCTTTCCTATTCACATTGGTCCTGGAAGTTCTGTATCTTAAATTTTTGCGTTTATATGAAACTGTGTTGTTGCAGATGATGGTACATGTCTCAAGCATTCCTTTTCAATAAGTAATCCAAAGTAATTAAATAAAACACCTTAGAAATAACCAAACTAGGTAATGGGAAAAACCTGTCATTCTAGAGCAAGTCTGGATTTTATGAAGAGGTAGGAAACAATCACACGTATAGTTGCCTCACATGCAAATTGTGGGAATATTATATGCATTTGTGTGTAGATACATGCTTTGTTTTATTTATTTATTTAACTGTGCAGAGATGTGGTGAATCTGAAGTCCTAGACGAAAAGGAATCTCTGTCTTCAGCCTCCTTGACAGGTTCCAGTCTTCCTGTTTTTCAGAATGTCCTGCTAAGGTTTTTAGATACACAAGCTCCCTCATTATGTGAGTATTAACTAATTTATATTCCAAAGTAGGTCAGAAGCAACTGGTCTGCTGTCTGGCTGCTGAAGTTCCTGTTTTGCTGTAGCAGGTGTTTCACAGTTTCCCTGTTTCACAAATTACCTGCTCTATTTTCATATGCACATTTTTTTTGAAATCTCCTGCCTTGTTATAGGATCTTTCTGTGATTTTTATTTCTTTCTTTTCACAGAAGGAAAATTGGCAGAAACTATGTTTATTTCTGTTTAAGCTGTAAGAGATTTGGGGAAGTTACTTGCACTCTATGCATGTTTAACATCAAACACTCGCCTCTTTTTGACACATCCACGTTCAAAGTGACTGACTTGGAAATTACACACAAGTGTTGAAGTCGAAAGCTGTTAGCTGACAAATAGGTGGATTGAAAAAAGGATCTTTGTTCATCGTAGGTTGCTCTATGGAATGTCTTGGTCTAATAAAACTGCCTGATGTTGTAGCTCCTGTTTCTGGTATCTTAAGTACTGCTAGTTAGTGCATTTTTCTTTTCTGGTGCCCTTAAAGTAAAGGGGATTTTAGGTGGTTTGAAACATGATACCGAAAACTCTCAACATCCGAAAAAGGAGAAACTTCTTAAAAATTTGTTACAGACTCTGAGGTATTGGCAGTGCTCTATTTTCGTGCCCGTGGTGACCCTGGTTTTAATAAACCATCCAAACTATTTGTGTTATTTAGACTTGTGTTTCTGATGTGCTTGTTTCAAATGTGGTATTGTCTGTCTTCACCCAGTTAGCTCTGTGGGACATGGTAGGGAGAGCAGCTGGGGAATGTTTTCCTTGCTTGAAATATTCTTTGGTATTTTGAGCATTGGACAAGTTCTGTGGTATTGTATTGTTTTTGCGGTGGTTGAGCTTCTGTGTCTCCAAAAATGAAAAGCATGTAACAGCTATATTTTGAAGGAGGGCAGATTGCCTGGTCTGCAGGTGTGTGTTTTACGATGCTCCTCTACAGAGCATCCAGTCCGCATGCCTTGCTTTTGAGGGGTGGGTCACGGCGGGCAGCTCCGGATGAGTGGGACCTGGGGGCTGCAGAGAAGAGTTCTGACGCTGAACTGGTGTGCTCTTGAGCTTACTGTTACAGCTTCTGTGCTGCAGTGTAATGAGAATTTCTAAATAGAAATAGTGTTATATATTGAACTAATTTGGACTTGTAAAGCATAATTTGCTTTTAAATAAATGTTGATGCTTTGGATTTGGTAGTTCTGTAGCTGGAGGTTTTATTGCCCAATAGAGTTGGCGTGGTATAAAGCTATTTTCTGTTAACTGCAATGTTGCAAACCTTTCTGTGGTACAGAACAAGTCAAATTAAATATAGCTGTGACAAATGAAAACTTAATAACATAATTTTATATGTTGTATTTCTCTAGGCTTTGCTTTGGCACTGGCAAAATAACATGCATTTATTTTAATAAACTTTTTCTTGATATGCGTGAGCACGTTTAATAGATAAAATACACGACACTGTCAAGCTTTAATAAAATATTGGTTTTACATCTTGGAGGCCTGGCATGCAGACATCTTGAGTTCTTTGAAAATATTTTGTTACGAATACAAAAGTACTATAGGTAAGACAGTAACATGTACTATAGTATAATTTGGGAGGAAAGGACAACCGTTGGGTGGTTTGTTATAATCAAAGCTTCAGCTTTAATTTTTCTTCACACAAGGAATGTCCTTGCCCTCTTCCCCCTTCTTTTTAATTTTTGGAAGTATTTGAACATTGTACTTAACTGCTGACAAGCCCTCCCCCCCACCCAACTGGGGCAGATGTGTATGGGGTAGGATGCTCTGGAATCCACTGCTGTCTGAAGTCTGTCCCATGTCTGGACCTGGTAGCAAAGCAAAAACATGCAAATTACATGGGAAATGGTTTGTTCTGTGGAGACAGAGAAACCTGTGCAGGATGCCTGACACATTTTTAGTAGGCCTTTAAAATTAATTTGCTGGGGTTTGCAGTTTGGATAGTTGAAACCCAAATATTTATAAGTTGAAACTACAGTCTAACTTTTTTTTTTTTTGGGGTAGCTGACCCAAATAGTGACCATGAGAAGACAGAGTTTGTGAATTTGGTGCTGCTTTTTTCTGAATTCACTCGCCACGATGTTTTCTCCCATGATGCGTACATGTGCACTTTAATATCACGTGGAGATTTGTCAATCACTGCAACTACTAGACCACGTTCACCTAATGGGGAAACTGTGGATGAACACTATTCTAAGGATCACGATGTGAAACTGGAGGTAACACTTCATGCTATTTCTCCCATGTTTGGTACTCTGTTTTGTTAAACGTAGATTTTCACCGAAGCAGTATTTCAGATACGAGATACTAAGTTTTTTTAATCTGTGTTCCTTGTCTCTTTCTCTCTCTCTAAGAAGACTGAAAGTGATCCATTAGCTTCATTCTTGTATATAGCTGTAAATATTGCCGTTTTGGTGCAAATACACTGAACTGACAGTTGTCTGGTGATCTAAATAACACAAACAAAAAGGCACAATGTAGACTTCTAAATGTACCAGTGGAAAAATTTATTTGCAGATATGCTTCAATGAAGAAAAGGGAGAGCTTTAAGCAGGAGGAGTCAGTGGGGAGCCTGGAGTAAGCTCCACGTCCTCTGTGTAGTGTGGGACATGCTGGCACAGCGCAGGCGTGAGCGATGCGCAGCCTGGTAATCTGCTCACAGACGATCAGGAGCTTACTGTGCGCCACACAGCCACCGAATGAAGACTGTGAAGCCAAATCTCATGACTCGTATGTGCACAGTCCAGGTGGAATCCCAAGTCTTCCATCAGATGAGCAGTTTGTAACCTTTTCTAAAACTAGTGCAAGAGGAAGGCAATTTTAAACTCAAGACTGTGGACCACGTTTGTACTTGTGTGATGAAATGTAGCCTGTTGTTCTGCTGCACAGTCCGTGTGGAGCCTGTGGGCAGCTGAAGTGTCCTCTTTTATATTTCTTTCTAATTTCTTTTGTAATCTTTTTTCTCTTGCATCGGTCTTATGGTCAAATTTGCCCTGAAATATAGGGGGTTTCTACAAGTTGCCTTTTATGGTATAACAAAAAAGGAAATAAATTTTAGGAAGGTACAGGAGTCAGCTTCCTGTTCTGTAGGTGTTCCTGGAGCAGAATTGCTCACGGGGATATACTGTAAAGTTTTGTTTCCCCCTTTGGCTCCTGCCCTTTTCTATGCTTTTGTGGGTTTAAGCTTGAGAAATACTTTTGTGAATTAAGGCTTATAAAGATTTAAAAGTCAGTATCTGAAAATTTCTTACCATCAATACCTTTTTCTTAATTCTTAAATAGGTGGAGTGCTTGGTTTTACCTGTGATCAGTTAAATGGGTCTTCAATAAAATGTCGCTGATATTTGTTTTTCTCTCTGGCCATTATTAGGATCATAGTATTATGGAACATATGGGCATTGACTCAGGAACCACTAGTATTTTTGATGATGTAGACAAGAGTGACTTTAAGGCAGATTTTGGTTCGGAATTTCCAGTAGGTTTAACTTTCGATTTTCTGCATGCCTTTGATGCCTGTGTCTGCTGCTTGCTGTTGCCACTGAACGTCTCTCCTTGCCCCTAGCACCACCTTGCTTCTTCCTTCAACAGCCAATGTCCTTTGGCATCCAGTCCCTGCCATCTTCTGTGTCAGTGCATCGCTTCCTTTCTCTGTGTCTCTGCTGTATGACAACTTACTGCTCTTCTGTGCTTCCCCCAGTTGTCCACCTGCACACACGCACGCACACTTGCACGCACACTCCTCTCTCCCTCCTTCCCTTCCTCCCCTTTGCCCCCAGCATATTCAGAGTGCTGTGTGTTACAGTTAAGCATGAATAAATATGCAAATCTACCCACTTCTTTGACATCAAGGAACACCACTGATGCCATTTGCTTTTCAAGTGTCTGTTCTGTGTTTTGGCTCTGTCTTCCAAATCTGTTTCCCCCTCTCTTCTTCCTTACTGTTAGCCTGATTCTGCATTACTCTTGAATCTCCTAGTTTCTTCTTTGCACTGGTCCTCATTCTGCATCCGCATGGACTCCTGTGCCCTAAACCTATCAGTGCAGATCCACTTGCAGGATATTGGGACCCCTGTTTCTGCCTGACATCTGTCATATTGGTAGTTTCAAGCATATCCATGCCTGCCTACAATGTCTCTTGTCACCTCCCACTTCACCCTTTCTATTATTTTCCCTCAATCATTGGACTATCTCATTGTGGTTTCTGTGTCACAGCAGCATAAGAAGTGTGGAGATTGCTCTGAATCGTAATGCTTTTTTTCCTGACTGAATGCTGCTAGTTTACGACTTGTCTAATAACAATGGAGATATGCATAGAGATATAATGTGTATATGTATCTTAAATTTCAGGCTTGATTACGATTGCCCTTGCTTTGTCTATCTTTTGAAAAACCTCAGATGTTTAAGAAGTAACTGTAAGCAAGAACAAAATCGTATCTCTGAATGCAATTGCTGAATTTCGAAAGTTAGAGGTTACACTTACCTTAAATGTTTGTTTTACATGACTTAGATTTTTTCTCCGATGCCTGGGGAGTCTTGTGAGAATGTGAACCCTTCTTTAGACAGAAGAATTTCAGTTACCAGCGAGAAGTCAGTCAAGAGGGAAAGACTGAGAGAACTGATTTTTCCATCCAATTATGACCTCCTTCGCCATTTGCAATACGCAACACATTTCCCTATACCTCTGGTGAGTGACCTCTGCTTGTGTGCCTAAAGGTACTGCCTGATGTGACAGCAAAGCGTTTAAAGGAAGAAAAGTTCACTGTCTGAAGAGAGCTGGGCTGAGGGCTGACCTCTGCCTGAGGGCTCCTGGCCGGTTCACGTGATGCTGTTGCTACCAGCGTGCACACGCTGTGCACTGCGGGGTGGCTTTAGTGCAGCGCACGGGCATCTTGTTTTATCGAGAGGGGGTTAGCTGGAAGAGGTATAATAATGTGTGATGACTCACTTGGGTTAAGGAGATAGGCACCATGATAAAACCACCACGTTCCAGGGTCTAATAAAAGTTTGCTAAACAGAAAATTTGATACTGTAGTTGGACAGACGGATGAATACCAAAATACCTGAAAGAAGTAGTTCTGAAATGTAAGGGGCAGAATGGTGTTATTTCCTCCCACCGACTCCTCGCCGTTTCTAGTGTGGATTTTTGGCGGCTGCTGTTGTTGTGTTTCTCTGTAGGCTCATGGGAACTGAAGAAAGCCCCATGAATAACGTTCCAGATCCCAAACCCTCATTCAGATTACTTCTTATGTTTTCTACTGTGCTGGAAAAAGGGCCCAAATACTGAATAAGCCTCGAACTAGAATGTATCTACTTGAGAATTTTTTTTTTTTTTAAAATAAAAAAAATGATGATAACTTTTTAACAATATTAAATCCTGTCAATACAGGAAGTGTCATGTGAGAGTATGATGTGATAGCCACAGTTTTCTTTGCTTTAAATTTCTTTCTCTACAAAGATTGGGTTCTGATTTATTGCAGGTGAATTGTTATGAGAATACTGAATGAGCTATTTCTATTCAGGACAGTTTTGAATGCTTGCTTAAAGTTTGATTCATATTTTGCCCATTTTAAGGATTAGAAAAAAGATAATTTGATTTGTTTGTTTTTCTGAAATATTTTTGATTTACACATGGAGCTAATCCAGGTAGCTGGATTTTGCCTGTGCAAATTGATTTATAAATTTTGATTATTGATTATTCTACATATGCATTATTTTTGGAAGTAATTGTAAATTAGAATATACTTAATAAACTTAGTGCTGATTTATAAATTTTTATTAAAAAAACAAGCAAAGAGAACACACTGGATATTTATACTTACTCTTTAATTTTAAAATTTCCGTGAATTTTCTGTAATAACGTGTTGTTAGCTTTTTCATATTCGTTGAAACAACAGCAAGGAAAGGCAATGGAACTTGGCAAGAACAAGAAATTTATTTATAAAAACTGCAGGTGTGATGTAAGCAGATACAATACTTTTTAATCAGTGCAGCTTAAAATCACTTTCTGGAGTAAATAATGCCCTCTAAAATGCTTTTGGGTTAATTGTATATGTGAAAACAAAGTTTAAGCTGCGGATTTGCACATTTTTCTGATGTATTTTAGAATCAGTACTTTTGCATCTGCTGTTCACTTCTGTGTTGTACCTCTTCGTCTGTGAAAACCTTCACCTCTTTGGATGCTGCAAAAGTCTCAGTAAATTTCAATCTGAATGATTTGGAAAGATGGTAATACAGAATAGGGTCAAAACAGAGGTTTGATACTGCAAACAGCAAGGTAGATTCTTTAGCTTTAAAGAGGGCTTGTTTCAGAGAGCAGCTGGTTATGGTATCGCTTTGGCTCAAAGTGTAGGGGATACGAACAATGTGGTATGGAACAAAACACAGCAGGTAGCCTGCAGTTACGAGCAGTATGTTGATGAGGGTTTTCTTCACATTTGCGTAACTCTCGCTGTATTTGTTTCGGTAGAGTTGTCTAACAACAAGGAAATTGGAAATCAGTATCACAGCTGAAAAATTCAGGAATATTGCTGTGCATATGAAATTAGTAAACACGTGCCAGTCTCTTCCAAACTTTGTTTTGAAATCGATGCATCCTGCACCAGGTCTTTCTTCAATGTTTTTTATTGGAATAGCCATGTTAGGCACTGTAATAAGGAGAACCATTGTCCATATGACTGCAGACAACATCTTGGCAAATCCAGGCCCTTGAATGCGGTAGATCTTAGAACTGTGTGTTAGCTGAAGGCAACGATCCATGCTTACAAATCCCAAAAATATAATTGATAAATACATGTTCAGGTAGATGAAACAGGCTGTAACTTGACAGTGGAATATTCTCAGTTTCCAGGATGCAACTCCTAGGTCAACAATAATCTTTACTGGCAATGCCAAAGTCAACAAAAAATCCGCTGTTAAGAGGTTAATTAAGTAGATGCTCGTACACTTCTGCTTCTGATCTTTTTGTGTGAATGCCCATAGTGCGAAACAACTTCCAATAAATCCCATAAGAAAAATCAAGTAGTAAAAGTAGGTAAAAGGTTCCATATCTTTAGCGATGTGGCATTGGGAAACGTTGCTTGACATTGTAAACTTCTTGTGCAAGTTGGTTTTGCTGCTAGGAGATATCAAGAACCTACAAAAAGAACCAAGACAACATCAATGACATCAACTTTTCCTGAGCAACAGTAGTTATTCTCTGAGAATTTTGTTTGATTAATTTCATGGAAAAAATGCAATTGGGAAGAAATATTTTTCACGTGTATTCAAGAACGCTTTGTTCTCATGTTGGAAAAGTTTGGAAATGTATTAGGATTTGTTCTTGAAAGCATATAGACTTCTGAATACTTTTCCACTAGAGCAGTCTTTCTGAGTGAGTGTTTGGTTCAAACCCACCTCTGCCCTGCCCCAACCAACCAAAACACCAAAGAAAAAGGTTTGAATCTGTTTAAGATTAAGCATCTGGTTAATAATGGTCATACTAATACTTCATAACTTTTGAACAATTGAAACTATGCCTAAAAAAAAGGGTAATATTTGTAGCAGCCTTGTTCTATAAAAATGTATTAGGAGTTTTGAAGTTAATGCACTGTCAAACCAATACACGGATTTGTCAGATAGATGAGCAAATAGTTCTAATCAGTCCTAAGTTTTTGCAAACTGTTCTGTCTTCCTACTTGAACAGAGGATAATTTAATCTCATAATTTTATGAAGCCTTTAGAAAAAGCACATTTTGAAAGAAGTAGCTATTAAATAATTTTGCTCACTACCTTCTTAGGCTTCACTAGAAATTATAGGGAAGAAAAGTAGAACATTTGGGTCTTATTTTAACTAAACATACTACTCTATGACCGAGGGAGTTTGTTTGTTTGTTTGTTTGTTACACTGTCATATTGCTGCATAGAATGTCTGTGGGAGAGGAGACATGTTCATTAGAATTTCTTGGAATGAAAAACAATACATTTATGTCTTGAATAGCATCAGACTACAACACTTTTTTATTTCATTATATTGTTCCTAATTTTAATATACAATATAGGAGAACTACTGCATTTGCACATTTATTTTCTGCTGTAAAATATGTATCCAGATGTGCACAATTTGTAAACCAAAATGATTGCAGATACTCCAATGATTTAAAATGGGGGGGGGGGAAGCAGTTTGTTTCTTGCAGTTGGCTTTCTGCAGGTCGTCTCTATTGTCCTGAAAACATGTAACTGAGTTGAATTAAGTTTGGGTATGTGCAGTGTAGGTGAGGAACAAGCAGCGCTGTCGGAGCTGCTGGGCTTGCTGCTGTGGTCCTGAGGCGGTGGGAGTTTCCTGTGCTGGGGCACGGTGTAGCCCCGCTCATCCTCTGCGGGGCAAAGAGGCAGCCCGGCAAACTGAGCCCTGAAATACTGCTGGAACTGGAGCCTCCAAGGATACAGCATGACTGCAGCCAAGTGACACTGACTACAGGCAAAGCAAAGGCTGTTTTGCTAAATACTTGAGCCTGACTTTTTATACATTTGGCACAATTAATATTTCAGGCTGTATATTTACATAGATCTAGATAGGCTGGAACAGACGACTAAAATCACGTACCTGTCTTAGTGGTCTCGGGGGTCTTCTGAGCATTAGTCTGCAAAGGTCTGATGCCTCTCGGCAACTGCTCTCGCAGTCCAATAGCGTGTTAATCTTTTCCTCTGGCTGCGTCTGCTGGTTTTTTAAAACGTGTCTGTGGTTTTTGAATGTGCTGATTGACGCAGTTAAAACTAGCATTCAAATAACTAAACCACGTGGAAGTTACCTAAAAGAGAGGTGACAGAAAAATGTAAGTGTTCATGGAACAGCCCAGAGAGACCTCTTTTTCCTTTTTCTCACGCAGGAGCTGGCGGCTGGGCGGGAGGCATGCCGAGGGCAGTGCCCTCTGCACACTCTGCCCCGTGTAGCGTGGTGGTGAACTGCTCCTCAGGCACTCGGTGCTTTGCAGGATGAAACAGAGAATGATGGGGAGAAAAATGGCTGCGAAAGAGCCGAGTTAGACATGTTGATGTGGCCAGTAGCCTGGATTATTACAATTATTGCAATTCAAAATGCATTTTTTGTGGAGGAAAGATGGTCAGAGTTGCTTGACCTGTCTGCATCAGAGAGGCAACAGGGATGGTGAATAGTGCTGTAAACTGGCTGATACCTAGCAGACCTGAATTTTCACTCTCTCCTCCTAACTTCAAGCATGAAGATTTAAGTTTAAATGTTTATCATGTGTTCACATTTGTAAGGGTGATGAGACGTGTATGGTTTGGTCAGCCCCAGCATGTGGACTTTTTCATGTAGTTCCTAAAACTTCATCAGGTTAGTTCCAGATTCTTGACCTGGGGCTGTAGATGTGTGACATCAATGGCCGTTTCTTTGCTTTTGTTTTTAAAAATCTGAAACTCTCTTCCCTCCCATATATCTTACATATAAAATCTATCTGGAATCAGGGTTTTGCAATTTAGTTGGCCCTCATTCATTATAATATTCCTGCATGAAATTCCAGTTTTTTTCTAGAGTTGCAACCTAATTTGCAGATTTCAAGGCACATAGGGATTCTACTGATAGCAATTAAAATTCTAAACCTTTGGACATTTGCCAAGTACTATTAAAAATAAAAAAGACACATTAGGAATATAGGGGAAATGTTTATAATTAAACTTTTTTTTTTTTAAAACTAGGAGAAAATTCTAACACCAGGCTAGGTACTGACAACGATACTGAAACCCCAAAATGTTAGCACTTTGTTGTAGTTGAGAATCCACAGGAATTTACAAATCACGTACCAGAGCTTGTGAAGAAACAAATTAAGAATGTCTGGTTTTAAGTTTAGTCATAAGCTTAAAGTTCAGACCATATTTGTCAAAATGTTTGCAAAGCTTCATAATCTGCAATGATCCTATGTTCAGTTTTGAGCAAACATGGACTAGTTTTATGGTGTTAAGTTCGTCATGCAAAACTGATCTTTCCATATTTGTATTTTTCTTTTTTTAAACTTGAAATGTAGCATTCAGTCAGTTTTGTGTGTGTGTTTGTGTCTCCCCTTTTCTCAGAAAACTTTTCCGGGTCTAAAAAGACAAGGTGATGGTTAGGCAAACCTTTACTGAAAAATGGCCTACACTTCCTACAGAAGTGTTTTGGGAGAAGAAGAAACATGAGAATGTGAGTCTACTGAGTCGTAATTCTGTTTTTATTGCTGTTCAGTATCATCCTCTTCCCCTGTCTATAGGTATAATTTAAAAGGCCATTTTAGTTCATAAGTTACAGATGCAGATGGTAGATTTTGCTGTAATTAAAGTTGCCGAGCACTTCTCATCATAAAACCCTATTTTTGGTGTTTAATTTTTGCTGACTTTTTGACTTTTGATTTGAAATTTTCCATGATGCATGCCTGCCTAGGCTGACTTCTGGGATTGGGGGGTGGTGCAAGGAAGGGAAGGGGTGCTGGTGTGGGTGGGAATTCAGCCAAAATTATTAAATCATTTCTGAGAACAAAGCTAGGAAAAATAACATCTAAACCTTAACACATACACACACACCCCGCCCCCCCAAATCTGATGACCTTTAAAAGCGCATCAGGAGCCTTGTGTTCTGAATTGGACACAACAAAGATTTATGTGGGTGGTCCTTGTGTTGGGATCACTTCTGATACCTCTCCACATTTTGCATATTCATTTGGAGAAAGGTTTCATGTCCAGAAAAAGTTTCTAGAGGCTTTCTGGAGCTCTGCTCTTAGTAGGCTTTAATATTTTTTTTTTCTTCCAAACACCCTCCACTGCAGGTGTAGTCGAGCCGAGCACTTGCTGCTGGCTCCAAGCAGGGAGCGGTGCCCCTGGGAAGGGGGAGCCCAGGACTCTGGTGTCGCAAAGGAGAGCGAGTTAGGACCTCGCTCCTGAAGACTGCAGGCTAGGTTACCCACAGGGCATGCAGAGGAGCTGGGAGAAGGGGAAGGCTGTGACAGTAGCCAGTATGGATGGGGAGTGAGTTTGGATGTAAACAATTTTTTATCCCATTGTAATGTCTGCATTGTAAATGAAAAATATGAGTGATCTTGGCACAGGTTAGTTATGAATTCTGAGCAGAAGCACCTATTTCTGATGAAGAAAAAACTGATTCATATATTTATTTCAGAGCATAAGGAGGTAAGATGTGTTCAGCATAGCCTGTGTCACTGAGCCTGTCGGAGAGGGAGGGGATCCACTCTGCTTGGCACATAGCGCTGTGTGAACTCCAGATACTACGGGTAGATAACCACGTCCTGGGGATCAACATCATTGGCAGCCAGCAGAGCACACCTGCTTACTGTCAAATAGCAAGTAGCTCCTTAGCCTGCCCTGTTGCCTTCCATCAATTATCGATACAGAATCATACAATAGTCTGGGTTGGAAGGGACCTCTAAAGGTCATCTAGTCCAACCCCCCTGCTGTGGGCAGGGACATCTTCAACTAGATCAGGTTGCTCAGAGCCCCGTCCAGCCTGACCTTGAATGTTTCCAGCGATGGGGCATCCACCACCTCTCTGGGCAACCTGTGCCAGTGTCTCACCACCCTCAGCATAAAAAACTTCTTCCTTATATCGAGTCTACATCTACCCCCCTTTAGTTTAAAGCCATTCCCCCTGGTCCTGTTGCAACAGGCCCTGCTAAAAAGTTTGCCGCCATCTTTTTTATAAGCCTCCTTTAAGTACTGATGATAGGCTGCAATAAGGTCTCCCCAAAGCCTTCTCTTCTCTAGGCTGAACAACCCCAACTCTCTCAGCCTTTCTTCATAG